CATCATGTAGTATATTTATTTATATTTATATATATTTATATATATAGATATGTGTATATGTACTTTTTGGATTGATCATGACCTGGATGACTGAATCTACACCGACGTATGACCATAACGTTGGTGTCAGACCCTATTGAAACTACTGCGATGGAAACGATACTCAAGTTGTTTCCCTCCTCTACTTTTGGTCGCTCCCTTTCCAGAGATGCAATTCTGCATCGGAGTAGGGGCAAGCAACAAAGTCAAATGTAAACATTGGACAAAACAAGCCGGACAAAGAATTATTTAATCAGCCATGATTGTATAACATTTTTAGAATTGATACACACATGCTAACCCATGTAGCATGTTGTCTTCTTCTGCGAGTTGCTTTTTAACACTAGAGACTGAAGGTGGTCAAATTTTAAATTGTGATGTAAACAACCACTTAAAAATAAATAAAATAAAGTTTCAGGAAAAAAATTAATTGAGCATTAAGTCCTGCAGTGAAAACATAGTCCATTTCTCTAAACGGAGGCGGTTCAAAGAACCATCTACAGCAGGTAAGATACTCATTGTTCGTAACCTTTCTACAGAACCTCTTTTGAAAAATAAGCAATCTCTTTCAGCTTAAACTTAACTTCCAGAGGAGACAAACAACTGAACATTGTTTATGCTTGTAAACTTGAGAAAGGTTCCATCTGGAGTTGAGAGGATATTTTCTCACACTGAGACGATGCTCCTCAGCCAAGAAGTTGAACATTAATGAGGAAAACAAGAAAAGCACATCTGGCAACATTTCAGTCTAAACTCTGATCCCTCAAATGATTCAAATGGTAGAAAGAGTAGAAATATAGATGCACACCTTGCATGATGTCGGCAAAGGACACCTCAGTCTGAAGACAGTCGTGCTCATCTGGAAAGAGGTCAACAAAGAGAAATGCTTTTTTTAGAGCAAAAAAATTACACAACTTTTTAACAGTTTTTATGGTTTGTTTTGCATTTTATTATAAACATAGGCTGCTAGTAATGCAGGAAGTACTTGAATTCCTCGCTGAGTGAAAGTTTGGAAGTGTTAAATGGAATTTTTATTTTTTGCATAACTTTTAAAATTCTAGGCTTTTTTTTATCAAGATATGTTTTTAAAAAAATATTGGTTTTAACCAGTTTCTAAAATTATTCAAGCCTTAACTCAAGTGCACACAAACACACAGCAGATCCGACCATGTGAGTATTTATCAAACAAAAATTAAGTCAAAATGGAAATGATGTGCGTGAAAAACTCCACCTCATGATTCAAAAGCTTGCAGAACCTACTTTATCTTGAAACTACATTTTTTGTACAACTTCTCTCAATGTTTCTCAAATGGTTGTGAAGGAATTCTGGCATTTCTTTACAATGTAACCTCAGTTCTTTGAGGGTTGCAGATGTTTGTCAGCTCTCTGAAGGTCCCACCACATCTGGACTTTGACGGACCATTGCAACAGCTCTTTTCTTTCTCTGTCAGCCGTTCTGTTGTGCACCTGCTGCTGTTTGGGATCACTGCTCTGTTGCATCTTGACCTAGTTTGGACAGATGGTCGCATGTTTGACTCAAGGACTATAATCTATAGAGGAGTTTATGGTCGACTCATTGTCTGCAAGGTACCTCGTTTCTGTGGCTGCAAACAAACCCAAATCGTCACCCCCATATTTGATAACTGTCACGGTACTGTGCATTATGGGTAAACATCTCTACTCTTGTCTCATCTGTCCACAGGATGCTGTTGCTTAAGTCTTGCGGTTCATTCAGATGAAACTTTGCAAACCTAAGCTGTGCTGCCATCCACACAAGCCATTTCTAATCGCACTGTCCTGAACTTCGACCTGCTAACTGAGGTCCGTAGAGTCTGAGATGGAGATCTTGCTTCTCGCAGTCTGACCTTGGCGCAACTTTCCTGGAACGTCTACTTCTAGGAAGGTTGTCAGCTGTCTTAGATTATTCTCAAGCGGAAAACATTTTTCTCGCACTAAAAACGGTTCCCGTTGACTTCTAACCCTTCTCATGTTGTTGATCAGCAATTATTGCCTCTCTTAGGCCATTGCTGATGTCGTTCCTGCTTGGCATTGTGATAACACACACCCGTTTGCTCCAGACCTGCAAAAACTCCAGCTTTTATAGAGGTGCTCACATGATCAGGTCATACATTTGAATCCTATGGGAGCAGCAAGGGGTGGACTTAGTTTGCCAACTCAATTTGTCCCTTTTTGTCTTTCTAAAAATAAATAACAGCAGAATGAAATCTGTGACCGCAATAATTTAAAACCTGGTAAAGACCAGTTTTTGTGTGTGTGTGGATGGACTTCTTTTTCCTCAAATTGTTTTTTTTGTGTAAATTGTAGTATAATGTTGTTGGTTATTGTTGCAGAAGAGTTAGCTTTAATCACATTTTTGGTGTTTTGTTATAAACCTGCATGTATTTTTTTTACATAAAGCTAGTATTACTTTGTAAAATGTGTTAAACGTTTTCTACAAAACAGCCTCACATTAAATACTCAGGAACCTTCACCTGTAAACACGTCTGCATGGTGTAATCAAAATAATCTCAGCTGTTCTGATCCAACATGGAGCCTGACGCCAACACAACAACAGAGGAAAAGAAGTGGACCGACCTTTGCAAGCGGAGCTCAGGGAAACAAAGAGCAGCACCGTGGCGCTGACTGCAGCTCTAGATGGACCCATTGCAGATCTGATGGGATCTCTCCTCTTGGGGTTTGGTTCCTGCTCACTGAGTCCTGCTCTGTTATCAGGTCTGATCAGAGGCCGCCCAGGAAAGAGGCTCAGGGGGGTCAGATTTCAGAACAGCCCAGTTATTGGTCCACCAGAAGCCGCCTGCTTGACTGTCTGAGAGCTCAGCCCACAGCTGGATAAACACTTGAATGGTTGTTGTGGGGATTCAGGGTGGAGGGGAGTTTTACTGCATGACTCACAGATGGTCTGTAAATCCTGCACGCAGTTACATAGAAAATCCGTCTTATTGTTGAACTGCGTGGTTCTACAAAACGGACTGGTTACTCATTGACTCACCTACTGTATGACTGGTTTATGCGTCACTCGTTAGCTGAGCCAACTTTCTTTACACATCGGTGCAGAAAAGCTGGATTTAAAAATAATGGAGATCACATGTTTACTGTGTTTACATGGAGCTGGGCAGCAGGAAGCCTAAACGAACTTTATCTACACTTTATAGATTTGACAGAAGTTCAGAACCAGAAAAGGAGATTTTTTTGAAAACAATCAAAGCAACGTCTGATTATTTATTTACGGTTCACGCGTGGGAAATCTGAATTATTTCTGTTCGTGTGTTTGTTTTTGACTAAAAAAGTTAAAGTTTGCAGTTTGAAGCGTGTACTGCGGTAGTTTTTTGTATATGTGCAGTTCAGAAATGTGGGTGCGCAGTCAATGTAAACAAAGCACAGAGTCACATGATCAATAAGGCTGACTGTATTTGAGAGGATCTGTGTGTGTTTTTTTCAGTGTTTCTCCTTCTTGTAATCAGCTCCTGCCTCTGTCACCTGCTGTCCCTCTCCAGGTGTTTGCGTTTATCCCTTCTCTGTCTCTTTATATTCTGCGTGTCCTTGTTGTTTCCCTGTCTCCCTCTGTGTCGTCTCTTCATTTATGTAAGTTTGGCTGCCATGTCAGCCATTTTTGTTTTTATGAATAAATATTCCTTATTTTAGTCTCGAGTTCCCGAGTCCTGTCTGCAGCCTGGGTTCAACTACACTACAGAACATGACTGTAGTTTGTGTAGGTAAACAAACATGGCGACTCAGACAAGTTTAGAATGGAGGAGAAGATGTTTGGATGAAAAAATGAGTGAAGCTGCGGTAAAACGTTAAAGAAAAGAAAAATAAACTAATTCTAGCCCTCGAATGGCTCATCAATGAACAACACTGACTGTTTTTCATTTATGTTTTTTTTTTTTAAATAAAAACTGCAAAAGTTAGTTGGGTAAAAAAAACAACCTTTTTTTATTTTTTATTTAAAGGCTCATTGAGGAAGATTACCAGGATTTGGATTACCATATTTTTTTTGCTGTATAAGTCGCACTTTTTTGCATAAATTTGCAAGTCCTGCGACTTATACACCGAAGCGACTAATACCCCCCCCCCCCCCAATATTTATAACTCAATTTTTGGTTGAGATCTAACGATTTCATTCATTCTGACATGGAAAATATTGAACACTACCATTTTCAGCTGCTAGAGGTCCCTCGAGTTATATGGCAAGCCTAGTGTCTCAATAATAGGTAAAAGTGGCTATTAATGACACACTTGGCTTGCCATACCGAGCCACCTTCGTCTTGCTCTGGAACTCCTGGAGCAAACGTCAAATCAGCTGCATTTCGCCGCGCCGCCCAGGTGAAATGCATCTGATTTGACTGTTAAAGTGCATTCATTAAGAAAAGTTCAACTGAGACACACCTTTGCTATAATTTCGAGCAAACAAATAATTGCATTTAAGTCTTAATCTTGTTAAATTCTTGTTAAAGTCCTCCATGCTCCCGCAATTGATTTTTGGCATAACGCCTGCCCACGTTTCCGGGTGGTCAGTGGTGACACTGACACATAACAAACGCGACGCTTCAGTGGTGATGCATAATAGATATGACTTATATGACAAAGCAACTTGTTTATATATTTTTTCCATTTTATTAGACATATTTGGAATGATGTGACTTATATGGAGGTGTGACGTGTACGGCGGAAAGTACGGTATGCTAGGAATTGTTTTTTGACCAGTCTTAATGACTTTGCAATGAGGACCTTTATCAGAACTCTCCTTTTATTTTACTTTGCTTCAAAATTATAATTTTAAATATTTTTCAAGTAGTAATTTTTCATATGTTTTTAATGTTTTATTCCAGTTCTGTTTAAAACAATTTCAAGTAGGATTTGTTTATCACTAAGACAGAAAAACATGTTGTAATGCGTAACGAAGTAAACAGTTTTGAAATATGGATACTTTGGTACATATTGCATTGTGTCACAAAAACAATTTTTATTTTATTTTAGATGCTTGAAAAAAATCTAAACACAAATATACATAACAACTAAACACTAAACAGTTTCTGCACGAAGAAGTTAATGTGGCATCACACTGTTTAAATTTTACACAAAACCTTATGGTTTTTCTCTGTTCTAAGGAAACTGCTCTCAGAAACTCTCTTCATTTTAAGCCACTTCTTCTTTTGTGCTCTTCTTCCCCAAATTTCTTAAAACCTTAAACTTCATAACATTGCTAAGTTTTTAACCACACGCATTAAAAAAAAAAAAAAATCATAAGACAATGATGAGAAGCAAAACAGAAAAAGTTAGATGTGTTTGAGCCATTGCAAAGCTTTGATACCTCTGGCTTTCACTCTTCATTTTTTAATTTGTATTTAAACACAAATTACAACAATAAGTTACACAAAATAATTAATAAAATAATACCAGACAAACCACTTTGTATTTCTGAACCTCTATAGCAGGCACTAAAACAAATGTGCTCATTTTTATTATAATAGTTGAACATCTGGATGCTTCAAGGAACAGCCTCATCACTTACTTTGGTGGGCTATAAATGATAGCAAGTTGCAACTAGAAAGTTCCTGGAGAAACTTTGACGGGGACTGCCACGTGGAGGCCATTTTAGATTTTTGATTTGACAGTACTGTGTGTTGGGGTTCACTCTCAGCTACCACCATAATAAATTTCAGCTTAGAATGGCAAAAAAAAAAAAAAAAAATCAATGAGTAATAGTCATTTTTTTCTTTTAAGCTATGGTGGCCATGTTGGAATTTTTAAATTTGGATTCAGTATGTGACAGGAAAAGTTCTCACACCAAATTTCAGCGTTGTGTGTAAAACTAGCTGAGTTGAAGCCATTAAATTTAGGTTTGTTGTCCAGCTTGAATTTTTTAATTCATTATTTATTGGGCATTGATCTCAGATACCTCACCAAATTTCAGTTTAATATCTCTACAAATGTCTGATTTACAGTGTTTTTCCTTTTTAGCTAAGTAACCATCTTTGATATTTGATTTGCAATCAGAGTCTATGAAAAATGACTCATTAAAAATTACGTCTTTGTTTGCAAATTACGTTGCCATGGTAACACAAAACACCAATAAAAGTAATAGCACACATCATGGTGCCAAGCCGGTCGTTTTGATATAACATTTGTGCGGGAACACGTTGTGGTTCGGGCTGCATTAAAGTTGATGGAAGAGTAAGATGTAAAGTTAAGAAACCCTTGTCAGGTGGATAATAATAGGTGGCTGCCTTATACTAGGCAGTCCCCAATTAGGGCTTTATAATAATAAAATTACTAATAATGTTTGTGCTGCTGTTTGGAGTATTGTGTTTATTGTTTTTATGCTTTTAGTGCTTAGCATATTTTTAGCTGATGTTTTTTTTTTTAGTTCATATCTTAGATCTTATTACTGTTTTTCTTTTACATTGTATTGTTGGATGTAACTGGAAGCCTGTGCACATAATGTTGTTCCACCACATGTACCACATGTGGTGAAATGACAATAAAGAATCTCTGAATAAGCTACTAGTGTGATTTTCACAAGTTGTCAAACATTTGCATACAAATGCAACAGAACACAAAAGTAAAAGTCTTTTGTTCTCCTAATATCCATGCTTGAATAATTTGAGTGTGTCAAGATGGAATTCTGATATTTATCCAAGCAGACTCCGTTTGACCGTAACACGATAATCAGAAATTCTCCTGTAGCATCATTTCAGAATCATCGTGTTATGTTTAGATTTTGAGGTTTTGGACAAAAAAGGACTCAGACTCACAGGCTGTAACAAATTGATTTATCTTTCCTCTTTGACCGAGTTTGACCCCCGGTCAGTGTGACTTCTGCAGAACTTTTCCTGACATAACAAGCGTCAGAGCAAAGAAAAACTCCCTTTTAGTTGTCAGTTGCACTTTAACTCTCCCCTTTACGCTCTAAAGGCCACAGTTTGATCTCTTTGAAGAGGGAGGATAATGCTGCTCTGCTCTCAGCTCATTTTCCAACTTGTCAAAAAATAATTGCTTAGATTCACTGCTTGAATATGCATGTACGTTGTATGTTATGATGTCACAAAGACTGTAAAGCAAGAGGGCGGTTTCAGATCAATGCATCCGTTCTGACCTTCCTTCCCTAGTTTTTAAGAAATTGCTGATATTGCTCTCATTTTATACAAATACATTTCATGTGGAGTGGATGAACAGATGACAGGACGGGATGTGAGATGACCAGAACACCTCACAGTGGTTTAATCAAATGCAAGATAACGAGCAGACCTCATGATGAACTTTTAGGATCATGGTGTAAAAGGCTGGCTCAGACCCTCTGAACATTGTTTGAACTGTGTATGCATTTCAATGAATGATCCAAAAATGCTCTTATTTAAAATGAACAGAATCCTAAAATGTACTGTGTTGAATGTTTGGGGTTGAGATGAAGAATGTTGTGGGTTCAGATGTACAAATGAGTTAAAATACTTTCAAAGTTCAGAAAGTAAAAATGACAGCAATCAGGAATGTTGATATAGCATCCGGTTTCTTTGCTTCATTTTGTTAGACAACCAGAAACAAACTTTCTGGTTACAATACTGCATGAAATACAACATTTTATGTCTTGTCTGTAGTATGGATATTTTATGTGCCTACTGTGAAACAAATTGCCCCTTGGGGATAATAATGATACTTGAAGCATTAAGTGAAGACACTTTTAAATCAATAGTTTAATTCATTCGGATGTAACTGGGACCCTGTGTACACAATTTTGTTCCACCACATGTACCGCATGTGGTGCAAATGACAAAGAAACTCTGACTCTCTGACTGACTCTGACTCTCT